TGTTTTTATTTTTCAGCTAATTTCACCAAAAATTAACACTAAAAAAAGTAATTTCAAAAATTAGATTCTAAAAATTACAGTAAACAAAGTTTTTACAAAGAACTAGAATCACATAATAATCATAAATATTGTCACCTAATTTTTTGTACATACATATGCTCCTACAGGTATAAATAATGTCATTCTCGAAATCTACTGGCCAGGAAAAGCAGAAGGGAAAAGGAAAAGCTGATGTACTATATCTAGCGAAACCTCAAGGAATTGACTTTGATGATAAACCATTGTGGAATCATGTGAAGATTCTTAGTATACCATTAAGTGGGGGAGTAAATATATGTTGGTCCTGCAACTATTACAATCAGAAAGTAACAACCTCATATTCAAAAGTCAAGGCTCATTTGTTGAAGCTTCCTAACTATGGAGTGGAAGCCTGCAAAGCTACAAAGGATGAGGTTTTTGAAACACTCAAAAAGGAGCATGAAATGGCAGAAAAAAGAAGAGATTAACAACAATGGGATGCAAGAAAAAGAGCAGATTATGTGTCTCTACCTGAAGGATCAGACTTGCTTCAAAAAAAAAAGAAAAAGAAAAAGAGTTCAATTTCAGGACCTTTGGCAGCTGCATTTAACGTAACAGAAAGAAAATTGCTGATAAACAAGATGCTCGTATGTTCTATGCCTCTGCTTTGTCATTCAATTTAGCAAGGTGTCCTTATTTTAGAAAATATTCACAAACCTTGGCAAACAACAAACTATAAACTATCTGGTTATTGTCCCCCAACATATGATAGGTTGCGGACAACATTGCTTGTACAAGAAAAGGCACATGTGAATAGAAAGCTTCAGCCCATAAAAGATTCATGAAAAAAGAAAGGAGTATCCATATGTTCTGATGGATGGTCAGATAGACAGAAGAGACCACTCATAAACATAATGGCAGCATCTGTTGGTGGAGCAATGTTTGTGGAAGCAATTGATGCAAGTGGAAATATATAAGGTGCAGATTATGTTGCGAACATATTTCTATTAGTGATTGAAGAAATTGGAAAGCAGAATATTGTTCAAATTGTTACAGATAATGGATCTAATTTAAGGCTACTAGGTTGACAATTGAAAATAAGTATCCTCACATTTTCTGGACACCATGTGTAGTGCATAGTCTGAATTTGGCATTAAAGAGTATGTGTGAACCCCCCTCCCCCCCCAAAAAAAATTTCTGTCTCAACATTCTGAATGTAAATGGATAGCCAACTTGGTCACTGATGTTCATAATATAAGAAATTTCATAATGAATCATAGCTTGCCAAATGCCATTTTCAAAAGTTACTCAAATTTGGAATTACTAAGGATTGCAAAAACGTGAAGCAACTCATAGTAAATGATGTTTGGTGGGATGACTTGGATTACCTTTTGAGTTTTACAGAGCCTATTGTTGACATGCTAAGGGCTGCAGACACTGATGCTCCTGTGTTACATTCTACATATGATATGTGGGACACTATGATAGAAAATGTGAAAGCAATTATATTTGAGCATGAAGACAAAGATTATATCACAGGACAATCAAATTTCTTTGACACCATTCATGAAATTTTAGAAGCTAGATGGACCAAAAGCAACACACCCATGCATTGCATAGCTCATTCCTTGGTCCCTAAGTATTATCATGAGACTTGGCTTCAAGGTGAAAGTAATGGCATTTGGCGATTGGCACCACATGAAGATGAAGAAGTGTCTACTTAACCGGAGCAAGTGTTTTGAGCAACTGTTCCAAAAAAATACAACTCATATGCAAAATGTTTATGTTGAATATGGTGCTTTTTCAAGTGGGTCGGGCTATTTCAATCAGCCACATGTTATTGAAGCAAGAATGTATGAGGAGCCAATTTCTTGGTGGGCTAATCATGGTGCTTCAACACCATTGTTGCAAGGGTTAGCATTTAAGTTGTTGTCACAACCAGCTTCTTCATCATGTTGTGAGAGAAATTGGAGCACGTATGGTCATATTCATAGCATCAAAAGAAATAGGTTGGCAAGTAGCAAGGCTGAAGATCTAGTCTTTGTACATTGCAACATAAGGATGTTATCTAGAAAGAAAAAAGAGTACAAGGAAGGGCCATCAAAGTATTGGGATTTATGTAAGTTTTCTAATTCATTAATGTTGTTTTATTTCTTCTACAACACTTTTTTTTCTCCTGGATTAGTTATTGACTTTTGCATGATTGTAGGTGGAGATAGGTTTGACATTGATGGATCTCCAATTGAGTTGGTAGAACTTTCCATCAATGAACCTGAGTTGGAGCTTGTGACTTTTGATGATGCAATGGAGGAGGTTCAGCCTGATGATGTTGATCATGATGCTTAAGACTTAGATGCTTAACTTTTGGACTAGCTTGATTTGATCTTTTGCCTTTCCGTATATTGATGTTTATGTAAAGACTATAATCTGCTTTATTTTTTATTTTTTATTTTTTGACATTTTGTGGTGTGGTGGAGATGATCAGAGAATCAATTTGGGTTTATGCCTGGCAGGTCAACAATGGAAGCAATCTATCTTTTGAGGAGAGTAAATGAAAAGTATAGAGAAAAGAAAAGAAACATTCATATGGTGTTTATCAACCTTGAGAAAGCATATGATGGAGTACCCCAGGATATAATATGGTGGGTGTTAGCGCAGAAAGGGGTGACAAAATGTTACATTGATATGATTAGCGACATGTATAAAGGGGTGGTGACCACTATTAGATCGCCTGCTGGAGAGGCAAATGAATTTCCTGTCACTGTAGGGTTATACCAAGGATCTACCTTAAGTCCTTATCTTTTTTCTTTAGTTATGAATGAGTTGACGAGAAATATCCAGGATGACGTGCCATGGTATATGCTTTTTGCAGACGATAAAGTGCTAGTGGATGAGACTAGAGAAGGAATTAATATAAAGTTGGAGATTTGGAGAAAAGCTTTTGAATTTAAAGGATTCCGGATAAACAGAACTAAGACAGAGTACATGGAGTGTAAATTTAGTAACAGTAACAATGAAAGCAGAGGAAAAGTGAAGATTGAGAACCAAGAACTGCCTAAGAGTGAACATTTTCGTTATTTAGGGTCGATTATCACAACAGTGGGGGAGATTGATGCGGATGTGGCCCATAGGATTAAGGCGAGATGGTGTAAATGAAGAAGTGCGTCTGGGGTTCTATGCGATAAACGAATACCCACTAGACTTAAAAGTAAGTTCTATAGAATGGCTATTAGACCAACGATATTGTATCGGACGGAGTGTTGGGCAACCAATAAACAACATGTAGATAAGATGAGTGCATTCAAGAATGGGTAGGAATAGCACCGATAGAAAATAAGTTAAGAGAGAATCGATTAAGATGGTTTGGTCATATTCAATGGAGACCAACAGAGGCAGTAATGAAGAAATGCGATGCTGTAACGGTAGATGGAAGTGTTAGGGGACGGGATAGGCCTAGATTAACGTTGGCTAGCGTTGTAAATAGAGATATGGATCTACTTAATTTGACTAACGAAATAGCCTTTGATAGGGCCGCGTGGAGAAAAATGATTCATGTAGCTAACCCCATTTAATGGGACTTAAGGCTTGGTTTGGTTTGGTTTAATGTTTATAGTTGTGACATCATTCACAATTTGAAATTATAATATGCTACAATTATAATGATATAGAATATTATAGGTGTGAAAGTTATACACATTTTAAACTTTATCGAGTAAGCATCCATATCATTTTCTTGTCTTTTTTTGCTTAATTTATATTTTACACAATGATTTTTTTATTTCTTGCCTAAACTGATGGTGATAAGGAATTATGCAGCTAAAATGGTGAAAGAACATGTGAATTGTGGGAGGTTGGAAGCACTAATCAATCAGGTATGTGCCTAGGTCATACATTCATTTCCTAATAAATTACTTTCTTCTTCTTCTTTGTATTTTTTTAGACTTTAACTATCTGGGTATTGATCATCATGATGCATAGATTATATAGTTAGTTAGTGCAATAAAAAATTCTATTAATATTTTATGTGCCGTGTCCTCGTATCCGTATCTATTTTTTGGACACTTTTTAGCCGAGTCCCTGTATCCTTATTTTTATGAATAGGCAAATCTGACACCTAGACACATACCCATATCCGACACCCGCATCTGTGTAACCTATGAAGCACGGGCACAGACACGGACACGGGACACGACACGGACATGTAGACACGCAAAATTTCAAAAAACGGGAGACACGACACGCTGGGGACACGTTCAATATATATAATATTATTTATTTATTGTATGTATAAAATTAAAAAAATTAAAAATAAAAATTAGAAAAAATAAAAAGATGGAAAAAAAGAGGGGGGTCTCGGGTATAAATAAATAAAAAAGTAGGGTTTTTGTTATAAAAAAAAAAGTATTTTCAATCTTTCATGAGAATAAAAAGAAATAAATAAATAAAAAGGGGGGAGAGAGTCTTTCATGAGAAAGAAAAGAAAAAAATAAATAAAAAGGGAGAGACAGAGACGAAAAACAGAGAGGGAGACGATTAGCAAGAGACGAAAAACAGAGAGGGGGAGACAACGAAAAACACAGAGAGGATCTGAGAGAGAGAGAGAGAGAGAGACGAACTGCAAGAGAGATGAACTGCGAGAGAGACAACCTTCGAAGTGATGAAAGAAGAAGAAAAACGAAGCAAAGAAGAAGGAGAGCATACCTCGATCTAAGGCTTCAACTTCACCCTCTTGAGCTTCAACATGTTCAGGTTCTTCTTCACCTTCTTTCTCTTCTCTCTCTCTTTGTCTCTTTGTCGACCAACAGGTTAGGGTTTTGTTCAGAATCACGTCCTGAACTTGTCCAAGCATGTCCCGAACGTGGCCGACTACAATTTTTTTTTTAAAAAAAAGGGGACACCTCTTATAGAGTGTCAGACACATGTCCACCACGTGTCCGATGCGTGTCCATGTCTGACATGTGTTGGACACCCATACGCTGTCTTCAGAGAGGTGTCCGTGCTTCATAGTTGGTGAGGTATTTGGCATGTTGGGATAAGGCGAGGCATTTGGCTTCAATTTGGGCTTGTGTGGCTCTTTCATCAATATTTTGCAAAGATATGGGATCAAGAGTGTTGCGCATGTCATACCTAAATCTCAATGTTCTATTGTATTTGACATACACTAAATCATTGAGACGTTGTTGTTCCAATCTATTTCTTTTCTTGCTATGAAGCTGCAATTATTAAAAAGATATTAAATTCTATATAATTAGAATAAAAAATATTTGAATTGAACAAAAAATTAGTTAGAATGTTAAATACTCACATGTTCGAATACACTCCAATTTCGTTCACAACCCGATGAACTACATGTTAGGCTAAGGATTTTTATGGCAAAAGTTTGCAAGTTTGGAGTATAAGAACCATATGATGCCCACCAATCAGCTGCGATAATCCACTAGTTAGAAATAATTGTTACTAAGTATTAAGTTTTACTAAAAGTATAACTCAAAATAAACTCTATGAGTCTATAATATATTACCTGGTGCTCTTGTATTTCTTTGCCTAATTGCAACAGCCTTGCCAAAAAGACTCTCAGCCTTCATATAAATACTCATCTCATTAGTGATCAAATCTTGAACAGTGACATCCGGGACCAACCTTTGCATGCATTCATAAAACCCATTCATCACTTCATGATCTCTTTGCACCTCTAATGCTTTTGGGTAAAAGAATTCTGGGTTAAGAAAATGTGCAGCTGCATGTAAAGGTCGATGCAATTGGACATCCCATCTTTTGTCAATGATTTCGAAGATTTCATTATACTTCTCTTCTTTATGATCAAATGAACTTGCAATGCATTCTTTTGCCCTATCTATTGCCTCATAAATGTATCCCATGGGAGGTTTCTTCTCGGTATCAACCAATCGAAGCACTTTGATGAGAGGACCCGAGACCTTAGGGCAAATACAACAGTATTCCAAAATGAAGGCATCAACAAAGTTTGTGCCATTCTTTTACCTTGTGGCTCCTTTGCCCATTTGCTTGAGGTCCAGTCTTCGGAGGTGACCATCTTTCTCAAATTGTTTTTTTGTTGATGCATCCTAGACAAAGTCAAAAAAGCGGTTGCAAATCTAGTTTTTGCAGGCTTGATCAAATTCTTCAAATTTGTATAGCGCCTCATCATGTTTAGCAACGTAGGCCGATTGTAAATGTAGCCATGTGCTGCAATACCCCTTTCAAATGTCTTTTTCAGTCTAGGTATCTTGAAAATGTCTTCTAACATCAAGTCCAAACAATGAGCATCACATGGTGTCCAATACAAGTGTTCATACTTAGCTTCCAAAAACCTCCCTATAATGTAACAATAATGAAGAATTATTATTTTCAAGTTTTTAAATTTTAAATACAAAACAAATTATGAGTAAACAATTTTGATGTAAGAAATGAGGAAATATTCTTACCCGCCAACACATTAACTGCAGCGCTATCAGTGATAACTTGCACGACATTCTCTTTTCCAACTTTCTCCACAAACTTGTCTAGTAATTCAAATAGCTTTTGCCCATCCTTTGAATAGCTAGAAGCATCAACCGACTCAACAAACATGGTTCCTCTTGGACAATTAACTAAAAAATTAATCAATGCCCTTCCTCTCTTATCAGTCCAACCATCAGTCATTATGGAACACCCGTATTTTGCACAATCCTCTTTATGATACTTCATCAAATCTTCAGTGTGTTTCACTTCTTTTTTGAGTTGGGTAACCCGCACTTCATGGTAAGTCGGTGGCTTCATACCAGGACCATATTGGCCAATGGCTTCAATCATTGGTCCGAAACTCTCATAATTTACTGCATTGAAAGGGATACCAGCATCATACATCCACCTTGCAAATCTTTGCAGTGCCCGAGCTCTCATTTCTTTTTTGTAAGGGTCATTTGCATCAATTTTTGTTTGTTTCCCTTTTGCTTGGTCTCTTCGATTTTTCACCACTGGTTCAGGATTGAGTGTGAAGTAAACATCCATAGGCCCTTTTCTCTTTGGCATTTTTTATTTGGATTTGGATTTGGATGAACCTTGGCTACTACTTGTCAACTTGCGGTGTTGATTGACATTGATCTCAACAACATCATCATCTTCATTTTCATCTTCCATGTCATCAAAATCAGGCAACATGTTCATTTCTTCTTTTTGTGTCTTTTTTTTGGACATGAATTCTCTAATCTCTTCTCTTACCTGAGAAGGACACTTCGGGCAAGCATTAACATTCCTATAACCTCCCGCAAGGTGTTGTTTCACCCGATAAACACCTCCATTTGATACTTTACCACAAAAATTACACTCAAACTTGTTTAAATTATTCTCCTCCACCAAATGGGCATATTGCCACGCCGGATCTTTTCTATTACTTTCCGATGTCATTTTCTACTTAGTACTTACTACACAACACAAAAAATAAATAACAGAAAAACAATTTCAGTATAATTAATGTAATGTATGTTATGTGATGAATTAATTAATGTATGTAATGTATGAATCAATTTTCTATTTTTTTAATTAATGATGAATTAATTAATTAATGTACATTACATTCCATTACATTCATTCCTATGTTACATTATTTTACATTATTTTTTCAAGAAAAACTTTGACCAATTTATTAATTCATCACATTAATAAATTGATTAACTTATGAATCAATTTATCAATTAATTAATGTTATGATTCAATGTATGTAATGTAATGAATGTATGAATTAATTAACTTATGAATCAATTTTCTATTTTTTTAATTAATGATCAATTAATTAATTTTAGTATAATGATGAATTAATTTTAATATAATCATAATGAATGTAATGTAATGTATCTATTTTTTTTTATTTATGTATGTATGAATTAATTTATTTATTTATGTAATAATCAAATAATTGAAAAAAAAAGAAAAGGAAAAAAAAAGAAGAGAGGACTGAACCTGCGAAGCCGAAGGAAAAAAAATAAAAATAAATTGAAAGTCGAACAAATGACCAGTGTCGAAGACGAAGATGAAGGAGAAGGGGAGAGAGAGTCGAACCTGCGAAGCCGAAGTCGATCCAGTGTCGCAGTCGAAGTCCAGCTCTTGTGTCGCAGTCGTAGTCGCAGACCAAGTCTAGCTCCAGCAGCTCGAAGTCGATTGCGAGGCGAAAGAGGGAGAGACGACTTGAATTAGGGTTAATCTGAGTCCTATTCGGCTCATATGGTACGTGAGTTCTGATCCTCTGTGATTATGAACCATTCGAAAGGTTCATCTGAGTTGCATCTGAGTCGTTAGATCAGATGTACAGATTAAACGCTCAGTCGCGCCTAGGCGAGGGCCTTGCGCCTCTCTCGCCTTGCTAAAGTCGCGGCTAAGGCGCTCGCCTGGCTTAAGCCGCCTCGCTTGGTACCTGTACAGGCGCAGATGGTGCACCTCGACTCGCCTTGCACCTAGGCGTGCGCCTAGGCACGACTTTGACAACACTTCGGGTATAAATAAATAAAAAAGTAGGGTTTTTGTTATAAAAAAAAAAGTATTTTCAATCTTTCATGAGAATAAAAAGAAATAAATAAATAAATAAAAAGGGGAGAGAGACTCTTTCATGAGAAAGAAAAGAAAAAAATAAATAAAAAGGGAGAGACAGAGACGAAAAACAGAGAGGGAGACGATTAGCAAGAGACGAAAAACAGAGAGGGGGAGACAACGAAAAACACATAGAGGATCTGAGAGAGAGAGACGAACTGCAAGAGAGATGAACTGCGAGAGAGACAACCTTCGAAGTGATGAAAGAAGAAGAAAAACGAAGCAAAGAAGAAGGAGAGCATACCTCGATCTAAGGCTTCAACTTCACCCTCTTGAGCTTCAACATGTTCAGGTTCTTCTTCACCTTCTTTCTCTTCTCTCTCTCTTTGTCGGCCAATAGGCTAGGGTTTTTGTTCAGAATCGTGTCCCGAACATGTCCGACTGCGCACAAAAAAAAAAAAAAAAAAACCTATAGTGTCAAACATATGTTGAACACCCACATGTTGAACACCCATACTCTACCTTCGGAGAGGTGTCTGTGCTTCATAGCGTGTAACATTGATTGACTCTGCCACTAACAACGAGCAAGGCCACAAGGAACAAATCCAAACAGATTTTTGGAGGGAAGCATTTTTCAATTTTACGATGATTGACATCTATATGAACATTATCATGTCCTCCATGTATCACGATAATCAATGATAATGCAACCAATACAACTGCCTACAAATGGCAACTAACAACTGAGGACATTACAAATTGTATATGAATAAAACTACTTATATTTCAGAACTCAAACAAAAAATGTAAACAAATAAAAAATAATTGGGCGGTGAAAATCAAAATATAACAACATTTATATTGGGCCATGCAAACCCAACTAAAGTTTTTTAATGTAAAATCCAATTTAGCAAAATCCCAAAACAAAATAAATTAATCTCAAACATCTATACTACTATATAAAAGCATAAGACAAATTGGTTACTCTGAATTTATCTTCTTTTAACTATCTCCAATAACAAAGTAATCCTACAACAAATGCATTTTACCCTATGAAGCACAGGTATAGGTACGGGTACGAGTACTGGTACTGGTACAATACGGGTACGTACATATGGTAAAGTTCAAAAAAATAGGATACGGGTACGGCTTGGTACGCTTGTAAAAAAATATTTATTTTTAATTTAAAGTGATGCAAAAATTAATTAAATGGTTTAATTTGTTAAGGTCCGACCTATAATTAACATTTAATGTCAAAAGGAAAAGTATAAATCAAAATTAAATGTTAATATATTAAATAACTTACAAACCATAGTTTAATTTTAAAATCATGCTAAAAATAAAACAAAAACTACAAAAGAAATCTAGTAAGATGATATTTATCTCTGTAGTAGAAGGAAAATATTGTTTCAACTGATGTACAGTACGGCTTGGATATATACTAGGTACGTCAAAAATTAAGAAGAAAAAACTTGGGTACGTGTTTTGTGTACCCGGTACATATGCAGAAGTACCATATGAGGTACGGTACGCCGGTAAGTATCCGGTACGGGTACGACATGTTTTTCGAAGTACCCATGCTTCATAGAATTCACCCTATTTAATTAAGTTCCAATTTTGTTGATTTGAAAGGGCAAAATAAAAAATCAAATGGCCATGTAATACACAAAACAACTATTTATCTTTTCAAACTCCCATGACTATGAGAATTCCTCTTTTTAAATTAACTAAAAATTGCTTCAATAATTCACTAGCATTGATCCGCGTGCGATGCACGGGACTTGTGAAATTCAATTGTTAAATATTTAAATTGAGTTTTGTCGATGTTATATGTGTACGTACAATCTATTCATTATTCAATGCAACAATCAACATCATATAAAATCATATTGTAGAAATCAATTACGTAAGATCCAACCCCTATGACATCATTAGGGGCGAATTTTAAAGTCGTATTGTAGAAATCTCTATTTAGAAGCCTACCTAATTGTGTTTCAATTTTAAATTTGTAGCTGAAAAAGGAAATGGATTCATTATATGTAATCATTGGTATAGGTAACTAAAACAAAAAATGAAATTAATTTACAAATTGATAAATGTTTTCTTTGCATTATTGAAAAACAAAATATAGGGATCATTCTCCAGTATTTAGAAAGCCAAATACAATTAGCAGGAAGGTTCTTGTTTTTATATTCCTTTTGCTGAATGATAATATATTTTTGATTAGAGCATTCATAATTGTTGGTTCATAATAACTAATTAAACTGCCCACACATTACCACCATAACCCCAACTTTTTCTAAACTTGAAATAATATTATTGCACCATATTTTGCTTTCATGAAAATTTTCAATGGTCAAAAGAAATTTAACATGTAGCGAGAAGCATCCAAATTACTAATGAAGAACAAAATGGAATGACTTCTCAATCTAACTACAATGCATCAGTAATCTCGCACATATATTTGAAGTATCCTCAAAGAAACAAATATAGCACTATTGACAGTTGAATTATGCATACAATTTAGGAAATAATTTAAGTTTTTGTCTTTTTTCTCTAACTAAAAAAAAAAAAAAAAACTGAATAAAACTAACGGCAAAGATTGCATTCAAAATTAGCCATTTAATTATCGTGTACATCTACATATCTAGCATGATCAAGGAGTTATCACAAAGTACAAAATCGTAGATAAATTTTCAGAGAAGTTGAAAACTTGACTACGCAAATACTCAATATCAATATCAAGATTTTTAACAAAGATAAACAAAAAAAATCATAAACATACCTACAATAGTCAACACAGAAAATGCATGAATTGTTTGAATTTCCTGACAAAAGAAACACCAAGAAAACAACAAAGAAAGATTTACTCAAGACACCGATCAATTAAAAACAAAAATGTGTCCTCAATTCAATTCCAACAATCTCTCTAATGGCCTGGCTAAAAAACAAAAAAGAAAGCAAGGAGAATGCAATCAAAAAAATGTGAATACGACTGACAACTGATGTTAATTTTAACTTAGGGTTAGGGTTTTGAAATCAAAGCCCCAATCGCACAACTATTGTAAATGAAGCTTAGAGTTAGAAACAAACCTGAGCTACGGAAAAGAGCTCTTGGAAAGATTCGATTCGAGTCGACGGGAAGATAAACGACTCCACTCGACGGGAAGATAAAAGACACCGGCTAGGAGGTCTTTGCTCACAAACCCATGATGGAGAACACTGGATTGCCGACGGGGATGCTGGTCTTCAGCTATGGCGGAAGAGGAGAGAGAAAATAAAAGAGCAAACTAGAAGAGGCAGATCTTTCTCCCTTGGACCCGACTGACTCCCCTGTTCTTTCTTTGGTAACTGGCTAATTAAAAATTGTATTATTTAAATAGTTGAGTTATGATGCGGTTATGAAGGAATATGGTATGTATTGTATAATTGAATATAACTAAATTATGAGACAATACAATAATGGTTATAATCTAAATATTATGAGTTATGATATAAAAGGATATAAGTGCATAACTAGATGTTTAGTACATCCGAATGTAGCATAACTCAAAATTTTGACTCACTTATTTTTTTTTATCAGCAATGATAATCCTTTATTAATATAAAATTAAAGATTAATTATACATCGAGTATCAATAAAGAAAAGACAAAAGAATAGGAATCGTGCTATAAGTATCATAGTGAAGAACTTTAATCTCAACTAAGTCGGTACTAGAGGCTAAGGCCAAGTTTGGAAAAGTTGGAAATAATCCATCTTTTTATCTTTTTTTCCATCACATCACCTCTCTACTTTTTTGCACATCTTTTCGTAAAAAAATAAAAAGTGCACTTATTTAGGTCATCCCAAACAACCCCTAAGTCCAATCATTTGCAACACTATCAAACAGAAATGCTTAAAGAATAATCCACCAAAACAACCAAATCAGAGACCCCCAACTTACTCAAAACAGGGGTGATACAAATGAATAAAGCCCAACCAAATACAAGGTACTAACCACCCCTAATGGACCTAAATCTGAAAACTAAATCATTAACAGAGTAGTTGAAGTTCAGAACTTTATATTTTGCCCAAAGAGCCAGCCTCACTTTAATTAGCCCCTACAAACCCTCCCTAGAAACAGTAGAGCCTTGGAACTTGCATTCATTCCTTGCCTTCCACAATGACCACATATAGCACATGGCAATGTCTTCCAAAGTTTGTCTTCCGCGTTTTTGAACTTGAATCCTTTCCACAACTGCAGTAGCCCCTCAATGGAACCTAGAACAACCCATTGCACTCCCCACCATGATAGAAAATTAGCCCAGATTTTCCACGCAAATTGAAAATGAAGCATTACATGTAACACATTTTCCTCATGAGCCTCACAGAATAGACAAAGAGAACTAGCATTAGCATCAAGAGCACCAACACTTTGTAAAAAAGATGTCTCAGTCAACCTCTCCAAACCAATCAACCAATATGACAGTCTATTAAAATATCTAATGCAACTTTCTTCCTCTCTCATATATTCTCTAATTATTAATCAATCATGCCTTTTACATATCACTGGGTTTAAAGAGTAGGCTTCTATGTCATTTTCATGCATAATCCCAAGATCGTTTTGGGCCATAATTTGGTTTGTATATATGCAAAGCTAACAATACTTTGATTTGATAGATCCCACGACCAATTCAAGTCATAACCAACACCATTTTAAGGCATAACTTGCATATGATAGAATTATAACAAATTAAGGTTTTAAAGATAAAAATTTAGGGACCAAATCATTTTTTAGATACAAAATATTTTGGTTATCAAAAGTGTCATTGTTGTATTTTTAGCAACAAAATTGAACATTTAATGATGAATTCTATCATTTTGGAACTAAATTTTTTGTCTCTAAATATAAACTTTTTAGGTAACCAAACTAGTTTGTCCAAGAAAGTGAATTTATTATCGAAATTTTCAAAATTTTGATAATAAAGTCATTTTTTTAACTTTTCGGAACAATCTTTTAGTGACTATTCTCATGATAATAGAAATTAGTCGCCATTTTTTTGTTTTTGTAATAAAATTTTCACTTCAAGAAACATAAAATTTGATTGTTAAAACTCTTATATATTGTAGCGGCCTTTCATACTTGGCATTTTATGGAACATTATGAAAAAGCTAACAATTGGTTTAAAGATATCTTGAATATGATTAGATATTAAGTGCAACACTGATACCACGACATATTGGTCATATTGCATTATTTTTCTCATTCATATTTGTAGCATAGAAAATAGAACCATGCCATGCATTAGAACCTGTAAATATGGCCCAACGAATGGCCTTGAAGGCATGAGAAAAATATGGGGAAAATGGGACTTCAAGATTCTAGTTCTATACATCCTTTTTACTAAGTTGTACCTTCATGTTTTTGGACGTCATCATAGAAAGAGTATGACACATCTGATGATCAACGTGAATGTCTGGTTTTTATACTTGTTCTCTGATTTACTGGCAACAATTGCACTCGGAAAGCTATCCAAGGTCAAAGGTGACAACGATGATATCAGTCCAATGAGTCTATTGAAGGGTTTATGGGCACTAGTGGGTGGTGGATGGTGGTGGCGGCAGAAGACGGTGGTGGAAAATGGTGGCGAGTGGTGGCTAATGTTGGGTGATAAAAAGAAAAAAAACTGAAAACTCAAAATAGAAACACATTTTTTGTGTTTTCTTTTTTGGCCAAATTTATAAACTGAGGCCACTGATTTATAAATCAAAAATTTTACCAAACAAGTTTTTATTTGAGTTTTTTAAATTTTTATAAATATAAACAGAAAACTGAAAACATAAGTGTTACCAAATGGCACCAAAATATTTTAGTTACCAAAAGTGTCATTGTTGTATTTTTAGTAACGAAATTGAACATTTAATGATGAACTCCATCATTTTGGAACTAAAATTTTTGTCTTAAAAAATAAACCTTTTAGGTGACCAAATTAGTTTGTCCCCGAAAGGGAATTTATTATCGACATTTTCAAAATTTTGTCAATAAAGTCATTTTTTTAACTTTTCGGAACAATATTTTAGTGACTATTCTTATGATAATAGAAATTAGTCCCCATTTTTTTTAAATATAATTTTCACTTTAAGAAACATAAATTTGATCGTTAAAACTCTTATATATTGTAGCGACCTTTTATACTTGGCCATTTATGGAACATTATGAAAAAGCTAACAATTGGTTTAAAGATATCTTGAATATGATTAGATATTAAGTGCAACACTGATAACATGAGATATTGGTCATATTGCATTATTTTTATTTAATTATTTTTCTCATCCATCTTTGTAGGCATAGAAGATAGAATCATGCCATGCATCAGGACCTGTAAATATGGGCCAACGACGATGATATCAGTCCAATGAGTCTATTGAGGGGTTTATGGGCACCAATAATCTTGTTTTATCTTGGAGGTCCAGATATCATGACTGCTTGGAAGAAAATCAAATGTGGTTGAGGCACGCTATAGGACTATTTACGCAAGGTCTAAGAACAATTTACATCCTAATTCTAACTTGGACTTCTACCTTGAGATTCTCTTTTGGCCTTGTTAATGCTCTTTCCTGGACTTATCAAGTATGGAGAGAGAGTGTGGGCAATCAAGTCAATATCCAAGAAAAAGTATGTGGGTTTTGTTCGAATTGATGAAAACCCAATTGGCAAAATAAGTAGGTGCACAACCTAATGCGGAGCTAGTACTCCAAGCCTATTCATATTTCCAGACCTTAAATCCTCATATTTCCAATTATGAGTGTGATAGGACCAAAGTGAACAAATCACTGCTGGAAAATTGACTTTTAGCGGAGTTTCAAAAACGCCGCTATAGCCCTAAGAAGCGCCGCAATAGGTTTTTATGACGTTTTAAATTTTCGTTGCAAATACCGCCGCCACAATATCTTAGCAACGTTTCAAAAAGGTCGCTAAAAACATTAGGCGGCGTTTTTAAAAACGTCACAAAATTTTCAACAACCACTACGTAATGATGACATCATTTAGTGGCATTTTTCCAAACGCCACCTTTCTTCATTTTCATACTTGCCTCGCATATGATGCCATGATGACATCATTTAGTGACTTTTGTTTTCCAAAAAAACACCATTTTTTTTTTTAAATAACACAAAGCCCAATAAATTGAGAATTTAACTAGGAACAGAGATTGAAAAATTAACTAGAGAGAGAGAATTAACTGAGAATTTATATAAAAGAACACATATTAGCTCAAACTTGCACATGACTGAAACGAAAACTTTCTCAGCTAAGAAAAGGCAAAAAAAAAAGAAGAAACAAACAAAAGGAAATGGCAAGCCTATGGTATAAGTTCAGATGTCAAAGGGACCGGAGAGAAGTTTACAGGGACAACTGATTGGCAAATGATCTCTGATTTGGGATAAGAGTTCCTTGAAACTGATGATCTCTCAAACAACCACTGCAGTCTTTCTGCAAATGGGACAGTTATTCTTCTGCACGAGCCATTGTTTGATGCAATTGAAGTGAAACTCATGCCCACAATTCAGCTTACCAAGCTCCTTTCCATCAACATAATCCTCCTGGAATTTGATTCAATAAATGGAAGCATCTGGTTTAATAAGGAGCTTTAACTTGAGAAAAAATAGGCCCCATGAATTGGTAACTCCCTTCCTCCCAACTGCCAGAACTGGGTGTGGGGAGAGATGGTGAGTGGAATGGAGTTTGGTAATAAATACATTTAAAAAGTAAAATATTTGTGGGGAAAAAAATCTTCAAAAATTTCACTAAATACCAAAAATACGTAACTATAAAAATTCAATACATTTACGTATTATTGTGTATTTATTGATTTTTAAAATATTTTTTCACAAGTATCTTACTTTTTAGGTGTATCTAGGTTAGGTGCATCTAGAAAGTAAAAAAATTGCTTAAAAAATTAAAAAAATTCACTAAAAACAAAAAAATAAAAAACTCAATTCTTAGAAAATCAATCAAAACCAGACAAGGTGATTAATTTTTTCAAATTTTTTTTCTTCTTTTTAGATCCCTCTAGACTAGTCAGACATAAAAATAAATTTTTTTTACACGAATCTAAAAAAAATTCACTAAAGACAAAAAAATTGGAATAATATGTGACTTTTTTAGCCGATCCCAAATAGATAAGTTGCAAGACAAGGAATTTAAGTGTCCCTTACCTGACAAATACAACACGGTTCCTCTTCCACTGGAGGTCCTAATTTCATTGACAGATAACAATGCTGCCTCACAGCTGCCAAAATAGCTTCCTCACTCAATCCAGTGCTCACATTTCCAATTTGATCCTCCAGGGCCAACAACTCCTAATCCAAAGTCAATCATTTATGAGCCAAACTTCAATAATGGCAAGGACAAAAAAAGAGCCATGTAAATGATTATTTCAATTTATTAGTGTTACCTCATAAGACATATCGTCTACATCAAGATGCATATTTTCATGCACATCAGGCTCCTCATAAGACAAAGGTTGTTCATGAACAATAATCCCATCCTGGCACACCACCATGAGTGCAAGTCGTAAAAAAATTACTGCTAACTAGTAACTATACGGAGAACATGGACACGAAAACTCCAAGTTTCTGTCCATTTCCAAAAGCAAACACAAACTTGATAATCAAAGCATAAAATAAACCAAGCAAAAGATCTAAGCTCAACCCAATGTAGGACTTGCAAGGCACGCCAAATCTGCTTATGGCAAAAACAAAGATATTTAGAGATTTGATTGGGTAAAGAGAAAAAATGTTAGAAGGGAAAAGCAAAACATTAAGAAAGAAGATGAAGATTAATTAATGGTATACACACTGCTACATCTTCAAAGGTACACAAGTTAAGTACCAAAGCTCAAATAAGTGCAAAATAAAACATGGACACGGGGGAAGAGAGCAAAATTCAAGAGGACCCACATTCCCAAAACCTGCTTTTAAAAATAAAAAATAAAAACACACACGCGCACGCTCTCTCGGTTTTCATGTATTTTTGAACATAGGTCCTCTGATTAACCAAAACAATTAGAAAACATAGTTTACTAGTTCTATTGAGCATGGTTACATTGGATATGCCTAAACCAAAACCATGACTATTTATCCATAAAAGAAGGGAGTCAAAGAAGACTCACCGGAGTGGAAATCAGGTGTCTGAACAAAACTTACAGATTTGAAAGAAACTTGGCAGTGTCAGAAAGCATAATAGCACAAAGGCAGCCCGGGTTCTGCCCTAATTTCTTCACCTGCTGGCAGCTGTTGTCAGGGACATCAGATTTCTCATCCTGTGCTGCCATTGCACAAGGGGCCAATTTCAAAGCCTCCATTTCTGGAGTAGACTTCCCACATGCCCCGACCCCATTTGCCCTTTCAAGCCTGCCAACGGTGACTATCACGAGGTCTTTTAATCATTTTGAATAATTTCAGAATTCAGAGAAAATTGCAGAATTATTGTTAATATTCGAGATCAGTTTATATAAAAGGCATTCTTCTCAAATGAGCATGAACTATGACAAAGTTTGTAGATAATCAAAAGATGAAGAAATGAAGAAACAAAAATATGACATTCAGTCTTTTTCAGATGCTACAATGGAGGATTCTAAGGGATTGAAGTGCATAAGTCATCATTAAGATAAAACTCTAGCAAAAAGAAGTAAATAAACAACTATAATACACCCACAATACATGGTTTCAATCTCTCATATTGGTTTCCTATAACTAAAATTGCAAAATAAACAGAAATCAAACAAAATTCAATATGTAATTCACTACACACATCCACAATCCAAGAAAAACAAAACAAATACCAATTAAAGTAGATCTTAATTAGGACAATCTATCCCTACTCAAGTATAAGATTCTTGAAACTTAAAATTTTACAATCACAGTTAAAATAAATTGGAAAATCAAAGAAACACAATAAATTAAATCACTAATGTGTCCACAATTCAAGAGAAAGGGAAATAAGGAATGAGTTTATGCATACTCTGTCACTTTTTAGAGGCAATGCAGCTTTGCCTTTCTTGGGCTTAGTTGGGGTAACAACACCACTTTCCAGAACACCCTCTTGGAGGTGTTCAGTTTCTTTTGCAAGCTCTGCTTCAGCAGCCAAAGCGGCCACAACAACTGGGGAATTGGGTGAAGAAATATCAATCCAATTGTTGGATTTTCTGTGGTTCTATTTTGATATTAACAAATGTAGATACCACTGCAACAGACCTGAAATATTTGAAAGCACCAGGTCCAGGATTGAATTAAAATTCTTTTTATCACATATTAAATACATGGGTTGTTGCTAAATTTAGAATTCAGAAATCATTCCAAGAAAACCAATACAGGTCTTTCAACAAAACCACAAGATTCAAAACATATGAATTAACAATCAAACTAAAAATTAAATTTGGTTAACAAGATACAAGGTATCATGCTAGTCCCTTTGAATCCTACTTTATCAAAATAACAAGTATTAATTCATCAAAGAAGATTCCAACAAACCTGAGTCCAATGTCTGTAAGTAGAAAACAGGAAAAACACCATCACAACTATAATTAAGCTGTACAAAATAACTGCAGTGGCACCGATACGACTTGGATCCTTCTTCTTCTTGCTTTGTTGTAGCAGAGCTTGAGGTTTAATCCTTGCCATGATGTGTAAGCCTCAACTCCCAAGGACTACAAAATCCCAGGATCCAGCACTCAATTCCAAATCTCTATAACCAAACACCATTTAAAGAAATTCCATAACATATAAATCAAACAGCCCGGTTTCGGATCCAATCTGAACTTTCAAAGAACTTCATAGGTATCTTTGAATAAGAAACACACACAATAACCAGAATTCAAGAGGATCAAAATACATAGACAAGTGAGAAAAATAATAACTTGGGATTTTTTTTGAAGCTTGATCTACAACCTCATACTAACAATCGATTAGACAGCTATGAAGTAACAAAGAAAATTACATAGAAAAGTAAACAAAAACACTGCTTGGTTACTGAGAAAAAACTGAAGTTTCAAATGTTAAAGATCTCAACATAATTCAATCGACTCAGTACTTGACACACAACAATGAACAAAATCAAATCCTAGGACCAAGATTTGGATCGAACGATAGAGATTTACATACTGGGAGAGATTTAGAGAACAATACAAACCATTCAAAATTTTAGTCAAAAATCAAAGAAGGTAGCCTATTCAAATCCACAACCCAACAAAAAAACAATTCAAAAACATAAAAAAATCCTAAATAATTACAGATCTGAACCAAAACTTACAGAGAGAGATCCTAAATATACACTACTAAGCATTTGAGGATGTTAATATGCGCATAGGGACTAAAACTTACAAATCTGAACAAAACCAATTAATCGATCAAATCCAGAGAGAGAGAGTGTTCAATATCGATCAATAGACTAAAAATCAATCGATCGATCAATCGATCTGTGTTCTCTTTAACATAAATTAGTATATAGATATCACACATATCTGAGATCGTAGATACAGATCTGTGTTCGTATATAAAAAAAATCAAAAAAATCAGAGAATGAGACTCACAAAATTAATCTTCAAATCGGATTGATCGAGAGCTTTGAGCCAAGATGGAGAGAGTCGGATAGAGAGATCGTAAATCGGAGCCTACGATGCTCGATCTAGTGAAATTTCACCATAAGAAAGAGGAGAGTGATAAAGAGACAGAACCCTAGATCTATCTCAGGACTGACTGAGAGAAATGAAAAAATGAAAAACGCATGGGCCTTGAAAGGGAAAATATTTTGGTACAAGTAGCACGCGCTTTTCAAAATGAGATGCTTGTAAAGTATTTTTGAAAACTTTTGAAACAATGTTTTTTGAAAAAAAGCCATAGCAAAAACGTTGTTATAGCCTAATTTTTTTGTAGTGAATTGACAAAAAAATTTCGTAAATTGATGAAGAAAGATAATGCTGCTCACAATACTTTCAAGTTGATTGAGATTGAGTTGGGATTGATGTATGACATGCTCTTTAGTAATGTAGGCACAATTTTTACAGTATGTGGAAGCATTCTTAGACTCATTTGCATCTCTTGCATTGTCAACGTGTTGGTGGGCTTTTTCTTAATTAAAAAGCCTGATGGGCATTTGAAAGGTGATCTTTCGATAACCATAATTTTGCTAGTTGGAGCCATTTGTTTAGAAATAGGTGGAGCTCTTGTGCAACTTGGTTTAGATTGGGCAATTGTTTGGGCTTGTAAGCATTACCCAAGTAAGTTCATCACTCCGGTTTTTCATCTTCACGAATTTGTGATCCCTAAAAACAAAAGATGGTCTAAGGTTATGGGACAATCTGGGTTAAACTTTTGCAACAAATATAAACCGACAAAGTTCAGCCTACCATCGCATAGAGTCCACCTTAGTATCAAAGAACTTATCATCTGTCAGCTTGGTAAGATATCACAGAAAGATTTGGAAGTTGAAACTCCACAGGCTTATACCATTAAAAGAGGTGAGTGGACCCTTGAAAAATATGGATTGGATGCTAATTGGAATATCAAGCTAGAATTTGGCAAAACTATTGCCAGTTTGGCACGTTGATACAGACATTTGCTATCGTTCAAAACCAAAAATTTCAAAGTCAGTCCCAAACAGAGTGGAAACAACCAAAATATTGTCATATTACATGATGCATCTTCTTCTTTTTTGTCCTACTTTACCTTTCTGTAACAACAGTGAAAATTTTAAGCAAGCTTATCCTAATGTGGAGAAATTTTTTGAAGAAGCACAGTTTAATGGAGAAAAACTTGCCCCTAGTTTAATGGAGAAGCAGGACAAATGGGAGATCATGAGTAATATATGGGTAGAGATGTTGTGCTATGCTGCGAGCTGTTGCCCGGTGAATCACCATGTTCAAGAGCTTAGGCATGGTGGACAGTGTCATGCCCTCAAAATAAACCCATAATAACCATAACATTAACATGCATTTATAAAAGAAAACGAATCATTTGAGTTATTCATCAGAGTATTCTTATTGAAAGACATCACATGTAACATCCTGCAACATCAAAATAAATGCCCTAAGGGCTTACATCTTTCCAAGCTAACACTTGGACACAAAAAGGATGAGTACTAACTCATTTACAAGATAAGCCCTAGGCTTGAATGTTTACATGAAATATCAAAATAACAAAATAAAACCTATAACTAAAGACAAGTCTTCAAATCCCAAACATCAAATCCTTCCAGGCTAAGTCCTTGGAGGTAGCTTATCACCTGAACCTGAAAATGATGTTCCCATAAAGGGTGAGCCACAGCCCAGTAGAAACATACTAAACCAAATATAAGCATTGAATAAAGCTAAAGCATTTAATAGATGGTTAACCAAGGTAATCAATATTATCATTATACAGTCTTATAACACTAATGTTAAGACACATTTCACTTTCCCTTATTATCAACATGGCTCAGAACCTGGCCAAACTTACAACAGTGAATTATATATATCAGATTCACATTACTTCCAATATCAACAAAAACAAATGAGACTCATGCTCATATCAAAACACTTCATACTTCCCGTTTGATACACATTTTAGTGCTGTATCAATAATCATGTAAAAAAAACACTTCAATATAATAAGCACACATAAAAATGGTGCTAATGGAGTCCATCCCCTATCTCCTCCCAAACAAAAAATCTGGTTTAGAGGTCCATCCCCTATCTTCCCCTAAACCGTGGAGTACATCCCCTATCTCCTCCCAAACAATATGCATATGCAATGCTCAATCAATACATGTAATTTCTGTATTAATTCAATAGTCTAAATTTATCACTTAAACAAATTGATTAGTTTCAATTTTTCCTAATCCGCATGCACTGTCTACAACAAGCACGACTATCCTCCACCGATAGCCCAAAACAGTTATTTCTAGACTGGAAAATAAATATATCACAATTCAATAGGCGAGTGGTTTTAATTACCCAACTACACCATTTAATCAATGAATTCCTCAATTTCATGCATTTAACCAATTTCCCCAATTTTCTTAAATTAATTATACGAATTAATTTAGTAATACAACTAGGGTTTTTCCCAAAATTACCAAAGTACTCCCAACATATCAAAATACCAAAAACTTAGAACAAAACCTATAGAATGGAGTAGGAAATCCCTACCTCGAAGAAAATAACCCGTATGGAGAAGATGGAGATGAAGACCAAAGACCAACGTGCTCCAAATCCCAAGTTTCTCAGATCAAAATGAAGCCCTCAACTCACTCTAACTTTTTAATAAAGGATCTAAGGTAGAAACTCACTCTAAGTAGATCAATCCCAAGAGAGAAGGTGTGTAGAGGGAGAGAGAGAGAGAGAAAAACACTCCAGGGGCGGTTTTTAAAAAGTTAAGAAGAAAAGGTAGGTCAAAAAGTGATCCAAAAAGTGAAATCACGGACTGATGTAATCGACTCTACGCTCGAGCGTAGAAAGCCCCGCTCGAGCGTAAGACACAGACTCACGCTCGAGCGTGAAGAAAGACGCTCGAGCATCGATTGCACACTTCCAGAAGTTTTGCAGGCGCTGGCACCCGCTCGAGCGTCAAACTCTCCGCTCGAGCGGAGGAACAAAAACAAGGGGTAACGCTCGAGCGTAAAAACTACCGCTCGAGCGGACGAACTGCAGGATAAAAATACTGGGAGATGGAAAATCACGCTCGAGCGTCAAAACTCCCGCTCGAGCGGAGAAGCAACAACGAAGGGCCCGCTCGAGCGTTAAAACTTCCGCTCGAGCGTGAAGGCCAAAATCTGTGCATCACCTATTGGCATCTAAATTCAACCAACCTGTAACAGACCCGCCCAACACAATCTATACTTCAAATACAAAGATATTAAAGGACAACAACAACCAATAAATGATGACAGGATCCACGGAACCTAAGTTCGGATACAATAATCTAAAGAGAAAAGACCAGGGTTGCTATAGACAGTTTCTCACACGTCTGGCTTCTACTTAAGCACTTGGGTGCAACAAAAATGTTGGAGAAAAATGCTTCTCAACAATTGAATGACAAAGAAGACATAGACTCAGAATTAATGGATGTTGTTGAATATACAGGATGTTGCTTCTGATACCTTGAAATAAGTGTCAAATTTCTGGGAGATGAGCTCATGCAAGTTTGAGTCAAACCATTTAGAAATTCTAGTTTCTCGTGTTTTGCAGATGTTGTTGTTTGATGTAGCTTTTGTTGCGTCCCCTAAAGCTTCTAGTGTTTGGCTTTGAGTTTTTTCTTGCTTTTAATTTCTGTGGTTTTGTTACGGTGTTAGTTTGCTTTAGTTGTAATGGCAAGGCTTCACTTGAATTGTAGTTCTTTGTTGTACTGTTTCATATAATGAATTGATGGTTGCTTGATCCATGTGATAATTTTAAGGTTTCGTATGAGAATTTGAATTACTTGATCCATGTAACAATTTTGTAAACTTGTAATATATAATTCAATGGTTGCTTTTTAAGTTTATTTTCTTTTAGTACCTACCAAATGGAGGAAATTTTCCGCTAGTGACTTCTGGTACATGTGTAAAAAATATGTACTTAATATATAAAAAGGTATCTGAGTGATAATAGGATATGATATTAGGTTAGATAATTGATCATTATAGTGAAAATGATATGATTAATGAAATTATTTGGTGAGAAGGACAATTATTGTTTTGAACGATTACGGTGCCAAAAAAGGGTTTTTACATCGCCAAATGCACGCCGTAGATACAATTCTACGACGCACAAAGTACGTCATATTATGACTAGTCATGGAAAGTCATTCACTTTCAACCATTAAAACTTTTAACAGCACATCCTATACGTCATGTTTAATTTTTCTACGACTACTTTTGCACGCCGTTAATTCAAGAGACAAACCACGACGCTTATTGCTAGTCATTAAATATTTAACACAATGAGCCTATTCTACCCGTCGTAGAATATGTTTAATTTTTTTTTTTAATTCAACAGGTTCTATTTTACCTGTTCTGTACAATCTAAAAAAAATTACAAATAAGTTTCACAAATATATATATATATATATATAAAAGTATCAATCAACCACCAAAATATTATTTCAAACATCAAAAAAACTATTTGTAAGTTTCAAACATCGAAAAATTGTCTGTACATTACAAATCATCCAAAAACTATGTTTCTAAACATCAAAAATTGTTCTCAACTTCAAAATCATCCAAAAGGTTCTAAATCATCCCCCCCCCTCCAAAAAAAAAAAAAAAACCTATCTTTAAGTTCTAAACGGTACAAAATTTACCCAAATATCTTCTTACGAGTGCACCATCATGGGTTGATTCAATTGTATCAACACTCGGCTTGTGCCCTCCATATCTTTATATTAGAAAAATCATAGTAGCTTGGATTCCGTCTTCAAAAGCTTCCCTTCTTAGAGCAAGCAAGCTTGAAACAACATCAGTAGAAAGAGCATATATTAGATCATAAGCATGGATAAAATACTCCCTTCCAAGAATATGAGCTAGTGGCTCATACCTGCATGAATTAAACTGATTTGATTACTTCATAATAACAATTATAAAGTTAGCACTTAGCACTTGCCTAGGATAGCTCTAATTCCAACTTCTATAAAATACTCCCTCCCAAGAGAGATTACGAGACTGCCACTGAAAACTAACAGTTGTGGCTTTGAACAAATTTATTTAATGAGATGGAACGTGCCCAATAGGTGTTTAAGTTTTCTACACTTCCAAATCTAAAAAGATTCAATACATCTAAGAGAACTGTATGATAAAATAAGGCATGTTCTGCTTCATACCATATGGAATAGGAGAACGTATTGTAGAGATGGTAATCACTTACATTTGCTTCAGCAGCAGGATTGACATTCCCCAATGCAAAGAAAGATCCACCAAGAATAACTACTCTCTTAACCTTTCTTGCAAATGATGAGTCCCTTTTCATTGCCTGATCAAACAAACGCATGCTTCTTGAGTGTAAAGGGTACACACCCGAAAAATTTGAAGATGTCATTATTTGTGAGAGTGAACAGAAAGGAAAGATATTAAAACTTACCAAAGCAAAATTTGTCAATGGTCCCAGCGCAAGTATGGATACTTCACCAGGATATTTAGAAACCATATCCACCAAAAATTCCGATGCCGTCTTCTCAATTTTCTTGGATTTTGGAGGAGGTAAGGAAATGTTCCCTAATCCATCAGAACCATGAACGAAGTCTGCAACACGTGGTCTTCCACCCTAGTAAAGCACAACACAATTTTGAATCTCCACCTAACTAATGCATTGAAATGTGGGTAGCCCAATATTACCTCCTAACTATACCAATTATAGTTGCATCAAACAACACTGCAGTGCATCCTTAACTGCTCAAAATCAACAAACAATTGCAGAAGTGGAGAATACCAGACATAAGGTAACCTAAAAAAAAAAATAGGCCAGATGTAGTATGTGTAATCACCAATCCATACTGTACCTGGCCTGTTCTTATTGGGCTATCACTGTCTGATGTTAACTATTCCATTTGAAGTATGCCTAATGTGTAGATTAGATGTTTGAAGGGAACAGCTAGTGTGGAATAAGCCAATGCATGCTTCTGTTCAGATAGTAGCAGGTATAAATATAATGCACTTGTGGCAACAAGCCTTTCTCAACTCGTAAAATCCAGAGTAGCAATCTGTCTTCACAGTATTCTCTTTACTCCAAAAAAACTAAGTGTGACACTAAAAATATTGGTTTGAAGAAGGAAGTGGTTTTCCCAATTCCAACCCGAATGGTTAGCTCGACAGGTAAGGCTTTGGGAGACACCCAAGGCCCAAGGTCCCCTATTCAAGTCTTGGGGCCACCTACAATAGGGCATAAGCCCTATGACTTAACTGAAGTGCATGGTCTGTGGAGATTATAGTGACTGAGGGAGGTTTACGATAGATTAGAGGTTCCATCAAGGTTTGCTAAACCATGGGTTCCTCCCCATCCAAAAAAAAAAATAAATTTTCCAATGCCCATTCTAAAGTTGCTTTCTCAAACAAGAACTCAACATAGTTACAAGTTAGAGCCTCATCTTTCATACGAAGGTTCAAATGTCTGAGAAAATGGACCTTGTGATAGGTAAACAACTAATGTACCCTTGAGTAAAACCTTAGTAATCTCAAAGGTCAAGAAAGTGATTGTAGACTGAGTAGAATGGTGTTGAAGGATTCATTAAACTAATCCCTAGTAGTTTATAGTCTTCATTCAGTTGAATCTGAGTTGTGTAAAAATCTAAAAAACATATGATGGCGCAACAAAATGTAAAGAATTGAAATGATAATTTGTGTTGGTCACCTACCCACCGGAATCCTTCTTTCTCTTGGAGGGAAGCACCTATCACGCTTTCACCAAGATTAGCAATCTAGGAAGCTACAACACAAATCACAGCCTCGGGTCCATTTATCTGTTTTCCAATTATTTTTTCAAGAGAAGGAAAAATACAGATTTGGTCAGATATCTTATGAAGATATAAACATAAAAGTGCCTGTTGAAAGATTCAAATGACACAAAGCTTAAAAAAACAGACATGCAGAATGAAAGTTCCGACCATCTTAATGCTGTTTTAAGTTTTGTTCATAAAGGAGACAAGCAAAGTGAAAAAAGAGAATAAGATTGAAAGAATGTGGAGGGACTGAGAGTCGAATATTTAGAATTGCAAAAACAAAGAGAATTTATTATACCTCACCCATCAGATAACCAACGAAAGAAAGGAGAATTGATGCTAAAAGTCCAGCAACGGTTCCCTCAACACTAAGAGCTCCTTCGGTTCCCCTTGGAACTATCTTAAATGTCGTGACTCGTGACTAGATACCTGCATTAAAGCAGCAATTTTAAAGCATGCACACCATATATATTTATTTCATTGAACAATTTGTAGGAGGTCATTAATGCTTGGATACCGTGATGGAATTGACAAAGAAAACTTGAAAGGTTTGTACAATATTAAAATAATGTTTTTTCCTGGGATACACAGATAGATTTTAACTGAGAAACTCACAGAACCAGAATATATATAACTTGGAGAATGCATCTACAGTAAATCAAGTATCATGTCGATGACTCCAAAATTCAAAACACACATTTTCTACTAACTTGAGGTGCAAATAGCATACTTTAGGATAGATAAATCTCTCAAGATGCTACTCATGCTTCCTAACCATTTAAAGCATTTGACACAAATCACCCTCCTCAACTGGACCAGAAATCAATCCCAGGAGTAGAATTTGTGGGCTCCATTCAACATACCAATTGCAATAATTTTAGCTTCTGTTATTCAAGATAGAGTCCAGTGTATGTAATACTAACATATAAATGGCAGTAGTCTCATCAAAATCTCAACCATTGATCAAAACTCAGCACAACTTTTAAGTTATCACGTGGCAGGATGGGAACCTAAGATAGCATGATAGATCACCTAATAACAAATTTTATGCACAATAATAACAACTAAGGTTTTATAACCATACCAACCTATAAAATTTACTGTCATAAATGAGAATCCTAAAAAACCTAGGAAACCACAAGTTAAAAGATGCACCACTTATGTTGTTTTTCCATATGCTTTTCGTATTTCACTTGAGACAGTATCACTCAATTTAGTACAGAAACTGCAGATAGCTTGTGATTTTAATTCCATTTAACCTAATTAACACAAGCTTGTTAGAAACTACATAGTCACGTCATCCCATTCAAACCACCAGTAGAGAGGCTGTTTGTCTTTGAGCAGCAGCTTCTTCATCATCATAGGCACCTGAATTACCAACACCAAAATAAAATAAGAGCCACTAAGTGACCATATTCCTAGAAATAATTACGAGAAAAAAAAAAGGAACTATATTAATTGGAACATACCAAGATAGACTGCATCATTTCATTAGGATTCCACAAAACCAGCACCACCAATGCAATAAGCAGAAAGAAATCAACAAAATTGCTATAAAGATATGTTTATGAAGAAATATATATATACATAATATGAGGAGAGAAGTGATATTGAACCTTGTCTTCCTTTCTTGTTTTGTGATTCATTCCAGCAATTCTTGTCCCACAAATGAGCTTCATACCTTCCTGTCCATGATGCCTTGACCAATCACAATAACAGTAGCCATTTAAGTAAAGCCAAAGAAGACCATTAACGGGACTGAAGCTACAATATTAAATTTGAACCAAATAGGAAATCAATTTCTAACATTTTGTTAAGATGAAGTCTAGTAATTACCAAAATAACCAGGGTGGGAAGAAGCTGGTTATCCTTGAAGGAAGACACATGCATAAATTTGCTATCCTTATTCTTCAATCTTAGAATAAATTTCATAATCATCCATCTGGAAAAACTACCAATTGGAAAACAAAACAAAACACAAAAGGGATTTACAATATAATATAAAATTGGGTATTTGACGGTGTTTTTTTATTTTTTTATTTTTTTATTTTTAATTCAGAAGCAGCTATTAGCAATTTATGAACAGAAAGGTTCCACAATGACTTAGAAGTCAGAAACTTTCATGGTAGAACAGGGTAAAGCCAACTATAACCAGAACAATATAGGAAACAAACAAGTCACTTGGACAATCACTGATCTAGCAAACAAAATATTGAGGAGCTCAAACAATTTAATTGAGATGAAATGTTTACTAAGACACTTGAGATTTTATACACTACAAACAACAGGACCCAATATAGGAAATTAAAGAAAAAAATTAAGGCTCCGTTTGATAAGCATCTCAAAATATAATTTCACCCATTGATTTGAGTGTATTGTTTGTTTGGAACTTTCAAATCATAATTCTACATCAATTTCTCAAAACTCAATTCAAAACGTAATCATTACTTTTCAAAACTCATAACCAAACACATAATTCAAAACTCAATTCAAATCAATATTTTAATTTTTTAAATATTTAAATATTTTAAAAATATTTTAATTTAGTTAAGATTTTAAATATTTTAATATTTAAATATGTTACGATTTTTTTAATTTTTTGAATATTTTTAAATATTTTAATTTCAAAATATTTCGATTTTAATTTTTTAAATTTTAAAATATTTTATAAAAATAAATTCAAACTCTATTTTATAAAAATATTTTTAAATATTTTAATTTTTTTTGTTATGCATTTGGTTACGATTTGGGTGTAGAGTTGTGAAAGTAGTATGGAGTTTTGAGTTATGCGTTTGGTTATGTGTTTTGAAAATAATTTCATAATTGACTTTTGTTTTATGCGTTTGGTTACGATTTGAGTGCGTAGTTGTATTTAAATTTAAAATATCAATATTTGAAATTATTTAAATTTTTTGAATATTTAAATTATTTAAATTTTTATGATTTTTTTTAGATTATTTAAATTATTTAAATATTTATGATTTAAATTTTTTGAATATTTATTTTGAAAAAAAATTATTTCTTTTGCAGTATTTTCAATTAAAAAATTAATTAATGTTATTTTCTGTTAATAATAATATTTTTTAATTGAATTTTGAGAGGGTAATTTTGGTGAAAATTGGGCCGAGCTATAAGATGGTCATAGTGGCCCACAATGCAAAGGGCTGAGTTAAAAAAGGCCGTAAGAATTACTCCAGCCCAAGAGAGGTACAGAATTACTCCGGCCCAGGATACGTATAAAGTTACTTCGGTCCAGAAGTAACTTGAAAGTCAGACCGGTCTTGGAGTTATACCGGTCACGAATCGTTAGTTCGGTCTAAACCGTGCCATGCGCAGTGCATTAGAAGCCGACGTGAGAGAAGTAAAAGGAAGAATTAGTTCGGCTCATTCTATGGCTCAGCATAGCCAGCATTATTTCGGTCATGTGGTAGTTCGGCCATGGTAAAAACCATCTCACTTAGTTTAAGCAGTGAGGGGGGTGTTGAAGGATAAGCATTATCTTTCAGGAGTATGAATCCTAGGAGGACTCTGCATGGAGGAGTAGAAGTCCTACTAGGATTGTGCCACACGAAACTTATAAAAGCTCACAAACATCACCTTGGAGGAGGTAACACACAATTCTTACTCTAGAATACACAGAGCTTTGTCTATTTGTCAAGTTTGCTGACTTAGGCATCGGAGAGATTTCCGGCACACACCCGCCGGCTAGCTCACGTTTGTGTTTTCAGGTGATAAAGCGACGTCGTACGGAGGAGCGCAGACTTAGTCAACAGGATTATATGAGAAGGTGTATTTCTTTCCCGTACAATTGGCGCCGTCTGTGGAAAAAACAGACAGGACAAAACCTCTTGATTAAGCTCCTCCTCTTCAGAGACAATGGCGTACATTGAAGAATTGCCACAGTCCGCCATCGACGGACAAACTCCAGATGGGGGCGCAAGGCGTGAAGGACTACCTTCTATCCCTCCCATGGCAGATTTGGAGCCCCAACGACATAACACCAGGAGGGATACTAGGGGGAGGCGGAATAACAGCTCCCATCGCTCTCATTCGCAAAGTCCTGACAGGCAAAGACGGAGGATTGATCCTCAAGCTCTGGAAGACCGCGTAAAAGAACAAGATGAATTAATAAAAAAGATAGTGGCGGACATGGAAGCTTTGAAGCGCCAGATGAAGGAAAAAGAAGTGACGACAGGAGAGGAGCGCAAAAACAAGACGCCCCCTCGCCACTCAGAAAATCATGGTAGGAATACCACACCCTCACAAGGAGAGAGCAGAAGCCTCAGGACAGGCGATACTCAATCCTGGTCTTCCAGAACTCGTCACTCCAGGTCTGAGAGGACGAGATCTGAAAGGTCATACACTGAAGGAAGCACATATTGGCCCTCACATTCGCACCAAACCAGATCTAGACAGACAGAATTACCCAGATCATCCGACTTACAA